AATATTGTCTCTCTGTCCATTGCCCTTGGTTTTTATTATTTAAAAAAAAATTAGCATCATTTGTAATATAATTCATTTTATACTTTAAAGTGGTACAGCAGTCTGGAATAGACTTTGAACCTATTCTGTTGGATGAGCTGCTGCTGTGAATGTATAACTTGACTCATTTAAGTGTATTGCAATACCAATAAATTTGCTCTGGGTTTTTTTTCCTGGTTGCACAGTACTTGGAATGAATATATAATTATGTGGGATACCTTGTGGCAATATTTTGGCCTACAACGGGCCTCCTGTAATTTTTATCACTGGCAGCTGCAAAGTATGGCTCTAGTTCCTGTTTCAAACCAAAGCATTGATATTCTGATGATATTCCTTTTAGCAATGACTTTTTGTTCAGGGAACCAGGACTGATTTGAGTTGCTTTGCCCTGATAAGAAAAGAACAAGGCAGTTTTAATTTAACATTCTTTCAAGGACATTCAGTGCAGATTTTCTGTTATAACTTGTAACAGAATTTGCAAGACCTCAATGCACAAGCTTAAATGAGTCACGAAGAAGAGTTTTTGATAGTCACAGAGAAAAATTGATAGCAATTTACATTTCCCACTTGCTTAGCTTAGCAGCATAAGATTACCTTTGGAAATATCTTTCTGGCTTAGGCAGAGAGAGGTTGGATTCACGTATCACACTGAAGCATGACATGACTACATCTCACATTGGCTGGGTTCACACAACGCCCATCTATTAATCAAGGTTTATAAGTTGAAATGGTTGGATTCACAAAGTGTCTGATGTGGTTTGCTGGTTGGGATTGGATATCTGTTTTTATTCCTGCCCATTATTTTTTATGTTAACTATTCAGTTATTCTGGGAAGCAGCAGCCATATAAATTGATAAATGGATGAAGCAAAAGGAAAGGATTTTCTTGTTAAAGAAAATCAAACAGACCATATTTGGCTTAGCATGATATACAGATTAAGAGTGACACCGAATTAGAACAGCTGTAGCTCAGTGGAATAGTCTGGGTGCTCTGCATGTAGAAGAAGCCAGGTTTATTCCTTGGCTCCTCTGGATGTTTGTGGTAAGCGCTTCTATTTTAAAACTTTTGCAAGTAGAAGCGGCAGCATTGCCAACTCAACCAAAGGGTGTCAGGTTTGCAAAGGTTTGCGTAGACGATATGGAGTGATGAGCAAATCATTCAACACAGTCTAAAACAGCTGGAAAAAGATTCTGATGATGACTGCTGAGTAAGATACTTGAAAAATGATAACTGCATCTTTCAGATTTATGTCCCCTACCCTCCAGAAAATAGACTCTGAATGGTTTATTATTCTCACAGGCCTTCCACTAATATTCATTCCCAGACTTTCAGAGTGTTGAGGCGTCCTCCCTGTAAGTAGACCTCGGTTTTAGCCATATTTCAAAACTGACCTGTTTAAGAAGGTTTCAACATTACTTCTTCATTGCCTTTGTTGTTGTTGTTGTTGTTTTTTAAAAAAACTTATGGTTTAAAATTTGGGGAAGTGGATCCTCCATCTCAGAATTCAGTAGCCCTGCTACTAAACTCACAGCTTTACCATTCTTCTGAGAGTTTGAACTCTCAGCTTTACCATTCTCAAGCCATGCTGTCTTCCATTAGTACCCTTCAATGTAAGATGCCACCTACGTCATGAAAGTGGCATTTTATGCTGAAGGCTCTAACTTAATAACATAGTATAGCATTTGAGAGTGTTGAAGGTGTTTAAACTTGGTTTTAATTTGGATAATCTGTTCCTAAGAAGCTCAACCCAACATTTACTATTACATTGTGTTTTCTTTTAGCACACGGGGGTATGTATATGTATACACACCCCTGTTTGCACTTATCGCAGGAAATGTTTTTCTTAAAAACATACTGGCTTAGATCTTAGATGAACTAAGATTTGTAATGTCAGTGAGCAGAATCAATATTTGATGGATTCCAGGTGTAGCTTTAAGTTTGGATCTTGTGGCCAGCCCTACCGTTGGGTGAATGGTGTCAGGCAGAATGAGATGGCTACCTGAGGCAGCAGATTTTCAGCTTGGAGAGAAGGCTACTCTCCATACTACTATGTTAGTTTACCATTAATGCTCCTGGCTCATTGGGAGAATGGCCTGAGATTATATCTCCCTGCCCTAAACCATGAATGGTCAGAGAAAAATATTTCTATCGCTCTCTATCAGTGCATGCAGTTAAATATTGTCTTTTTTCTCTCTCTCTCATTAGAAAAATATCTATTAAGGACAGAAAGATGAAAGAAATAGTGTGCATTGATAACACTGAAGAAATTGCTGAATTTTGTAAATAAGCCCATAGTTTTAAAATTTGGAAGCACCTTTGTTTCAGTTTAACTCCTACTTTTCCCCGGAAGAAAACAGTTAGGGAGATACAGGAAATTTGAATGAATGAATGGTGACATACAACAACACTCTCTCCTTTTTATCTGTGGCTTTTAAAAATATGGTTTAAACTCGGCTAGCCAGCTGTTCCCTCGTGCTGTTGTTGCTTTGAGCCACAGAAAGTAAAAGAGGAAGCTGGGTTCTGCCCTACCTGAGATTGCCTCTTTCCCCCCCCCTCCTATCTCTGTTTGCAGCGCCACCTTGGTCTGCCATCCTGTCCCAGCCAGATTTGCAGAGGTGAGCTGTTCTCCTTCCCCCTGTACTCTCAGTGTTAATTGTGTGATAAGACATCTGCTTAAGATGAAGGATACTGGGCGGTGAATGGCAGCAGCAGCAAAACACTAAAAGGTAAAGCTTTGTGTCCTTAGTCATTTGCTGCCTGCCCTCCTAAACTAGTAAGCTCCACTTAGCTGCATTGTAGAACGCTGTCCTGTTTCTTGAGTTGAAACACAATTCAGTTGTTAATGTGGGTACATTTTTATTTAATGCAAGGAGACTTTCCACCTGGTTTGCTTTAGGTAGCAAATGCTTTGTCAGTTTGTCTGCTGCTCTAAGTCCCTCCTTAGCTGCTTTACCATGGGGAACCGGTAACATAGGCTTAAGGCTTTCTGTGGGCGGAATGGGACAACTCGTCACGGCCAAGTCGCCATGGCCTTCTTGCCATGGCCAACTCGCCGCAGCCATCTTTCTGCAGCCAACTTGCCATGGACATCTTGCTGCGGCCAACTTGCTGCAGGATGACTTGCCATGAGATGATTCCACATGGGATAACAATGTGATAAATGTTATCCGCCATTGTTTCTTCTACATTATTTCCATTTACAAAAATGGAAACAATGTAGAAGAAACAGTGGCAGATAACACCGTGTTGAGTTGTCCCACATGGATTGTCTCATGATGAGTTGTCCCACAGTGAGATAGCCATGCTGGGTTGGCCGCAACAAGATGGCCAGGGTGAGTTGGTCATGGCGAGTTGGCTGTGACGAGATGGCCTCAATGAGATGGCTATGGTGAGTTGTCCTAGACCCTCCTGTGGAATACATCTGCTATCCTACTAGAATAGTGAGGGATGTCCTGTTAGGAAATGTTGATGGCTTCTTTGTGTCAAGTTGGATGTATTAGCCATGGTGGCGCAGTGGTTAGAATGCAGTACTGCAGGCTACTTCTGCTGACTGCCGGCTGCCTGCAGTTTGGCAGTTCGATTCTCACTGGTTCAAGGTTGACTCAGCCTTCCATCTTTCCGAGGTTGGAAAAAGAGGACTTAGATTGTTGGGGGCAATAGGCCGACTCTGTAAATCACTTAAAGAAGGCTGTAAAGCACTGTGAAGTGGTGTATAAGTCTAGGTGTTATTGCTATTAGGGTGAGAGTTCGTAGGTAGGAATAATTGGGGAAGTGGGTGGGACATTCATACAAGCTTTATGTTGAAAGTGACAGAGGCTAGATCAGAAATGGGGATCTAGGATGAACATGTCCCAACACCTTTCCTTGCTAAAGATTACCGGTATGCTTTGGATTTGAGTAGCAAACCCCTGAATTATGGAAGTGTGAGGAATTTTTTCTTTAAAAAAAGAGTTATAATCGATGTACAACAGTCTAAGAGTTTTAATTAACTTTCTTCACAGTTAATAGCAAAAAAAAAAAGCTACAATTTCTCTCTACCTCCCACTGGTGATATCACAGCATCTTTCTTATATACTAAGACAAGGGTAGGCAACCTTGGCTCTTTTATGACTCGTGGATTTCAACTCCCAGAATTCCTGAACCAGCCAAGCTGGCTCAGGGATTCTGGGAGTTGAGGTCCACGAGTCATAAAAGAGCCAAGGTTGCCTACCCCTGTACTAAGAGATTCTTGGCAATTGAAAGAAATGGCTAAAAATAAAAAGTTAAAAAAATAAAAGGCACCTCATCCCTGTGGTAGATTATGAGATTCTTCAGGTATTTTCACATGTACTAATCCCTTTCTTCCTCCTCCATTTTGCAGCACAGGCTCTGCTTACAGCCTTTGTAGTCAGACACCTGCATTCATCAGAATTGAGGATAATGGTAAGTTGTAAAGACTCATATGCAAGAAAATGGGAGACTATTCGTGTTGTAGCTGCTCTAGGACCAGAAGTCCTAGCTATTGGAATAGATAGCTGTCAAGTGTCTGAGTAACGAAACACTTAAAAGGACTTTCAGTAACGAAACACTTAAAAGGACTTTTTGAAAATCTTTTGTGAAACAGAGCAAGGATACAGGTCAGAATGTAGCTTTGGGAATCCACTGTACTGCATTGTGACGACCTAATCTCCCTTACACACATTATCTATTTTCAGAAAGTGTTCCCAGTTATGAAAACCAAGGTGAGTAGCAGCATAATCGATATTCTTTTTCTTTTCCCCTTCCCACAATCTTTGCCTCACTCTTCTTGAGTCTTTTTGATCTAGATTTGGGCACATGGCCCTTCTTTGGATTCTGGAAGCTTCTTTATAGTTTCAGTGGGGTTTCATTTTCAAGGTGAGGAGGGAGGTAGAACTCATTTATATCTAAAGAGGAGCATCTAATCTTTTGGGGCTTTGTCTTCCCAGAACCACCTTTGGTCCCTGATGATGATGACAATTATATTCCTGGATACATGTAAGTCTTCAGAAAGGATGGGAGTCAGCGGGAAAGCATATTTAGGTCAATATAGTGTTATTTTAGACTGAATAATTTAGTTTTCTATCATTCCCAGTTTGTGCAGAGAGTAGCCAGGGAATGTAACTATAATTACAGCTACTCCCCAACCTACAACAGTTTGTTTAGTAGTGATTGCCTGAACTTACAACAGCACTGGAAAAAAGTGACTATGACTGTTTTTCATACTTATGACCGATGCAGCATCCCCATGGTCACATGATCAAAATTCAGGTGCTTGGCAATCAATTCTTATTTATGATGGTTGCAGTGTCCCAGGGTCATGTGATCCCTTTTTGCGACCCTCTCACAAGCAAAGTCAACCTGAAACCAGATTCACTTAACAACCATGTCGCTAACTTAACTGCAGTGATTCACTTAACAACTGTGGCAAGGAAGATTGTAAAACGGGGCAAACTCACTTAAAAATGGTCTCACTTAACAACAGAAATATTGGGCTCAATTGTGGTCGTAAGTTGAGAACTCCCTGTATAGCATTGTAGTTGTGATGGTTCTCCTTCTCTGAAATGCTCTCCCTGGCCTGGAAGATGCTACCATTGTATGTTTTAGGCATCTGGGTGAAGAAATGACACGCTTTGTGTGAAACCTACTGTATAGTTTTCCCCCCCATTCTTCCTTAATGTGTGTATATGTGCATGTAATTCTGAAATTTAATATATAGTTGTTTCCTTTGTCTGCATCTGAACATTTTAGAGGTTTTACAATACAGAGGGTAAAATTGATACCAAGTTGTTTGAATGTAGGAATGTAATCTAGAAGTTGGATTAAAAACTGTGGTTCATAGATACGGTATATGGGATGAATCACAGTATTTTATTCCTTAAAGTTGTATTTATAGAATTGTTCTATTTATAGAATTTCTTGGTTCCATACTTGGGATTCCTGGATTTTTTTTCATTTATAACATTCCTTGCCATTTGTTCACAGCAGTTCAACCAATTTAATAACTATTTCTTAGTAATTTAAGAGAGGTAATACAAAAAGGGAAAAATGAGCAGTAGAAATAGAGACCAATTCCAATTTATAACCTAATGAAGGCAGTTGTGGGCGAGGAGGAGCAATATTGATTCATTGCTTCATTCTGCTCTTACTGGGTCTTGCTTGCCCTCAACAGAGTGGTGTTGCCTGATGTTCCTATCACAGAACAGAGAAAAAAAGATCATGCCTCTTTTGGTAAGTTGGCAACTAGGAGGATTCTTTTGTCCCTCCTGGTCATGGCCTCTTAATGTTGTTGGATTAAATTGCCTTTCTTTGCCTTTGGGTTCCTCATGCTGCTCTCACATGGTTTCTTCATCTGCATGACACTAGAATTGGAAAGAGAGAAACTTCCAGACCCAGCAAGATTTAAGAAGAACTAAGGGGGGGGGGGGGGAGGAAGGGAACCCTTAGAAGAAAAGGAAGTTGAAGAAGAAAACAGTCTACCCAAACACACATACATCCCTTCCATGTATGAGACTCCTTAAAAAAATACATATTTCTTTAAGGAATTCAGACATTCTGTTTACTTGATCTTAGGGCAATGCAAAATGTTTTCTTTTGGGTTGCTGAGCATTTCAGAAATAAAATCCCACACAATACTTGCAACAACCCACATCATACTTGAAACAACAATTTTCTCCTCAGAGATGGGGCTGTTTTGCCCTGGAAATTAAATTACTTTTCTGATTTACCCTCCACGGTAGATATGCCATCCATGATGATGATAAGAAATGTAGGAAATCCAGGTGCAATTGTTAGCTTTTGTAGCCTCTGTAAAAATATAATCCAGTAAAAATATCACAGAATATTTGTAAATATTGGAGAGAAAACATTTTTTAAGATCAACCATTTTCTGTGGTTGTCAAAGAAACCACATATCAACCACTCGGGAGTTTAAAACGTTGGAAAAATACTGGGATCCTAATTGGAATTCTATTTTCTAAAACTGGTGGATTATAAGACTTGTAACTTTCTACTCTCTATTTTTTCTTCTCCTCTGATTTTTACTCTAACTACTATTGAAGATTTGGGTTCTTTTTCTCCCCCTTAAAATAGAGGGGGGAAAGAAAACTGAAAAGATCTAACTAACTCTGAGATGACATTTGCTGGCTAAATTTGAGACTGCAACCTGCTATTCTTTAAGAGAGACTTGTTGACAACCTTGAAAATAAATAAGATATAAAGCAACCTTGAAGCACCATCTGCAAGATACTCAGCTCAGCTCCTTATGTGGTGGACTTTCTGATTGTAAGGTTTTTTTTTCTAAGTTTAATACACTACAATGGAAGAAGAACAGGAATGGATTTTTTCTACAGAGGAAGTACAGGAACAAATTCTTTATATGTTAAAAGCAATTATCCAAACTCTTCAAACTCAAACTATGACTTCAACCAAAGAATCATCTATACCAGTGGTGGCGAACCTATGGCACGGGTGCCAGAGGCGGCACTCAGAGCCCTCTCTGTGGGCACGCGCGTTGTCGCCCCAGTCCTAGGCCTTCAGCTAGGTTTTATAAAACCTTTTCGCTTTAGGCCTCCGTTGCCATGTGCAAAAAAAAAAAAAGGTTCAATCAGTCAATTTCAACTTCTCGCGGGAAAACAAAAGTTCTTGCAAAGTTGGAATTGATTGATTGAACTTTTTAGTCCCACCCAGTCTGCCGTTACCACTGCAGCCATGCCCATCCAATTGGCCATGCCCACCCAATAGGCCACACCCAACCAATAGGCCACACCCACCTGGCACTCGACGATGCATAAGTGGGTTTTGGGTTGCAGTTTGGGCACTCAGTCTCTAAAAGGTTTGCCATCACTGATCTATACAGAATTCTATAGAGAAAGTGAAACAACAACCAAATGCTATGACAGAAGACTTAGATACTCTACAGCTTTTTTGTGGAAAACACAAAAAAGAAACTGATAATAGAGAACAAGGAAAGGACTTTTCTTATAAACCAGAAGAAATTTGAAGATAAAAAAGAAAAATAGATGAAAGAGAAGATAAATACTTCGGGACAACTGCATCGAATTGGAAAAACAAAGAGACAACCTGCTAAATCAGCTAGCCCTCTTAAGAAAACAGCAACTGAATACCCTTATCAATATCAAACAATAGTCACAATAATACAAGGAGATCTTTTTGATGATTTAAAAGCAAAGATACGAAAGATGATTTGGCAGAGGAAAAAAGCTAGAATAAGACTGAAAGGGATTGGGGTTTTGATTTATACATGATCCAAAATAGAATATATCTAAATGGATAGAATATGTATTCTGAATATAAAATATTGTAACGATTTGAGATAAAAAAGTTGGTTTTATAAAATCTAGAAATATAAATATTGAAATAAGAATATTATATTGTTTTATTAGTTTGTTAAGATATATGGTAGAATTTATATATAAGGTCTGTATTTTAAATATTAGATTGTATGAGGAATTGTGATAAAGGAATTGTGCTTAATTAAAATTTGAAAAGAATAAATAAATATTAAACGTTAAATTAAAAATTTAAGGGAAAATTAACCACCAGGTCACTGATTTGCTAAAAGTTTGAATGTTTATAAATAACTAAGATTTGAGTTTAAGATATTGTTATGAGTTGAGACACAGATTAAGTAAAACTTAGAAGTATAAATACTAATAATTAAATTTGTATATTGGTTTGTGGTACAAATGCTGATGGTTTATTTTATTTTATTTTTTTTCTCTTTTTCTGGAAAGGAAGGAAGTAGAAGGAAGAAAAGAAAAAAAGTATTAGCCCTAAATATGAGATAGGAGACTGAGAAATTGGGATCATTTAAAATCTGGAAATGATAAAGATTAAACGTTAAATTTAAATATCAATGGGAAATTAAAGTTAAGAAAAACTTATTAGGTTATTGTTTAAAAGATGGAATGTCAAATTAATTAAGATATGTATAGACTGAAGATTATTGATGAATACTAGAAAGGTATTTTTTGTTTGATTGATAGAATAAGAACTGTATTGATCTGAATATGACAGTAGATTTTACGGGGGAAAGAGAGGGAATTAGTTGTAATACTTTGAGATTTGTACTGATGATATTTAAATGTAATGGAATTACTGTGCTCAACCGCCACGCTACTTTTCAAATATGTAAATGTAATATTGGAAAATTAATAAAAAAACTTGGGGGGTGGGAAAAGAAAAAAAAGAAACCACATTAGAAGCTGAGATGTCTTCCCAGGTTCTATGAAGAGAAGGACATTCCCTCATAACCGATCTGTTTCTGTGGGATGAGAGTCGAAATTTTTCCCTTCTAACAATTTGGAATATTTTTAGCAACTAGCATGGGGGCTTCAAATCTGTGCTGGTCAATTGACAAGTAAATCCTACCATGTTTTGAGGTGTATACCTAGAGAAGAACAGCTAGAACTCAACTTACAACTGGTCAATTAGCAATTGTTCAAAGTCATAATGGATACCTCAAAAGCTATTTACAACCCAGTTTCAAAGTTACAATGGTCACATGCACTCCCTCCAGTCATGTGATCATATTTTGGATGCTTGGTACCCGGCTCATTTGCAGTATTCTATGGTCACAAGGCCACAATTTTGATGTGGTTTGCTGGTTTCCTACCTTTACTTCCCGTTTCAGCAAAAAACGCCCATTGAGTAAATGGATTTGCTTAACAGTCACATGGTGGTTCACTTAATAACTGCAACAATTCCAGACTCAATTATGGTCACAAGTCAAAGACCACTTGTATACAGAAGATTACAATATTTTATGTGTTTAAAACTTCGGTTTTTCTGAAAAAAGATAATTTATTTTGTAATTACTATATTAATTCGCTATCTTAATTGTTAACAACCCTGAGTACAGGTAGTCCTTAACTTATGACCACAATTGAGCCCAAAATTTCTGTTGTTAAGTGAGACATTTGTTAAATGAGTTTTGCCCCATTTTACGACTTTTCTTGCCACAGTTGTTAAATGAATCACTGCAGTTGATAAGTCAGTAACACAGTTGTTAAGTGAATCTGGCTTCCTCGTTGACTTTGCTTGTGAGAAGGTTACAAAAGATAATCACACAGGCCCTTGGGACATAGCAACAGTCTTAAATATGAACCAGTTGTCAAGCATCTGAATTCTAATCACATGATCATGGTGGATGCTGCAAAGGTCGTAACTGTGAAAAATGGTCATAAGTCACACTTATCAGTGCCATTGTAACTTTGAACGGTCACTAAATGAATTGCTGTAAGTCAAGGACTACCTGTAATATGTATTGCTTCATTCTTTTTAAACATGCTTCCCTTCACCTAATTTTTTTTCTCTAGAGTCCATAATGGACCAATATGAAAATGTGCCCGAGTCTCAACGGCATTCACTCGGTAAGTGGAAGAAATGGGCTGAGAGGAGGGACAGGACTAGTAAAAAAAAAAAAAATAGTAGTGGAGTTGAGTTTGGAAGATGGTTTGGTTGGCATATAGTGGAACAAAGTAAGTTACAATGACGTTCTCATCTATGAGAACGTAGTTTTAAAAATGGTTCTGCAAGACTCCTTTTTCCAGATATATTGGAAGGGTATTTGTTCTTATTTTATTTATGAAAAATTTTAAAACCGCCTAATAGCTGAAGCCTTCAGGCATTTTATAACAAAACACATTAAAAGATTCATTATAATAATTAAAATAATTATAAATAATTATAAACCGCCTAATAGCTGAAGCCTTCAGGCATTTTATAACAAAACACATTAAAAGATTCATTATAATAATTAAAATAATTATAAATAATTATAAATAAATCATTCATTCATTTATAGCACTACTACTAGATTATGTAACAGCTTTGGTCCTTATGCCATCCATCTTGTAAATTCACAGGATTCTTTTTTTTCCGTCGTGTATATGTATACATTCGAACTACTAGACTGTGATGTTTCTCTGTGTCATATATGTATGTGTATGTGGTTATATGCATAATGGTTTTTGTTTTTGAGAGCTGAATGCAATGACATTTTATTTTTAATGTATGCTGATTAGTGTACATTTAAAGTTTTTTTTTTAATTCTATTGTATTTTGAAAAAAGAACATGTAGAATAAATATGGTCGTTTATAAATAAAATGCAAAATGAAAACACACAAGGTAGGCAGCATTCATTCAGAGTTTTAAAAAAAATACAAATTTAAAAACTAATTAAAAAAACCTGGGAAAATAGATCCTTGCCTGATGCCAAAATGATGCAAATGTCACCCCAATTGGGATGACATGTGGGATGCCAGTATAGAAAAAGCTCTCCCATTGTAAATATTGAAGAACAAGAAACAAAGGAAAAATAAAACCCATGTTACATTTGCAAGGATTCATTTATATATAAAAATGCACATTTTGAAATATTATGGTGAATCTCACAGAAATCTCAATTTAAATAGAGACACAGTAAATTTCATAGGGAAAGCAGATTCTAATTTTTGTCCCATCATCTGCCTCCCAGGTCTTTTGAATTGTAATTACCATAATTTCTAGGTACTAAACCAGACATGTCAAACTCGCGACGTCACCTGACGTCGCGCGACGTATCGGAACCTTTTCCCCATTGCCGGCAATGGGGTGGGCACGGTTTCCTCGTGACACATCCATCCCGCAGGCTGGCAGTTTGACACCCCTGCACTAAACTGTGAATTTATTATTATGTTGGCACTGAACCTAGCCAGTAGTGGTTTATTCAATAACCCACAACTGAAAGGAACCCTGACAGTCTGAATGTGTGAGACCAGTCACTGTTGGAAAGGTATTTTTGTTTTCCTCCTGATTGATTCCTGTTTTATTTTTGGTTACCCCTCCAAGCCTTTCTAAGTAATCACATAGGTGTAAGGCAGAAACAATTAATAAAAGGGAAAAGAACACAAAACATTTACCAAATGAGCTATAGTTACTTGGTCTGCAAGATTTATTCTACTTTTTTTCAGCAAATCATGCTGGTTAGACCAACACTAGGGAAGGGTGTTGTCCTCTACTGACATTGATGTGGGATTTAATGTCACTTTTTTTTCATTTCTCCTTTCTCCTGCAAAGGTGAATACGTGAATGTACTAGAGCCAGCACCGATCATACTAGATCCTTGTTTTGGTGAGTGAGGGAAGCTGAAAGGATGGGCAAGGGAAGATATCCTTATTCTCAGCAATGCATTCATTTTCTTTGGCCTATTGGTAAAAAACAGCCCTTTTTAGCTCCAGCATTGCATGCCATACTGAATGGTGGGTTAGAGAGGGTGTCTTACTCCTATCCAGGAAAATGTACAGCATCCCTTGAGTCTTTTACTCCAAGTGGCTTCAAAACAGCTATGGGCACTAGAAAAGGAAAATAAAGGTCCTTCCTTATTTGTCAGTCCCCTGTTGAATTACATTGCAGCTGCTATTGGTGTTTGGGATGGCTCTGCTTCTACAGCCATAATAGCAGAGTTTTCTCAGAGGCTTCTATGCTAGAGATAGCTCTATGATTATCAGGCTTTACAGAAATGGTCTTTTGTTGACTGTAACATTAGGTCAGGAAAAAGTGATAAGTCACTGTGATAGGCAGACGTAAATGACCTGGAAGGCCACTTGTGGCCTTGGGGTAGGAGTTGTTGACTTCTGGTTTAGTCTCTCATTAACCAGTTATCCCCCAAGAACTATTAAAATATGTATATGTAGACATGTACGCACTTTAACACACATTATTGTTTCTCATGTTCCAGCAGTTGGCACTAGTGATCGGGAAAGTGAAGATGATGTTCCAGACTACGAGAATGTCTGTTTTGGACTTTGAGCTATCCAGACCCCAGGAAGGGGATTGGGGTAAATAAGACTTGACTTGTGATAGCAGATAATGCTGTGTACTAAGCCCAGCATTGCCTTTGTTGTGGCAACACCAAATCAATTTGGCTGATCTTGAAAAAGCTAATCATGATTGGACTTGGTATACACCATCCCAGAGTTGTGGTCATCAGAAGAACACCTTGGAAGTCACTGACAAAATATTCAGTGTGTATTCCGATATGTCTGAATAGTTAACAGAAGTTGAGCAAATTTACAAGAACATTATTTTTTTAAACTAAGCAGCCTAGAGTTGTCCCAAATAGCAAGCTGGGCAGTCTGTGTAAAGCCTGTGATGTCTGTTGCTGAAAAGGCTGCAAATCCCACTGTATGCAGCCTAAAGTATCATTTCCTTTTTTCTTCCTTCTAGGTTGAAAGGAGGATTTGTAAGGATCAGTTTTGCACTGGTGCATCTATTCATCTTTGTGAAGGATGGATCACCACCAAGGACACCTTCTTCTGAACATCTTCCAGTTTTGCCGTAACCTGTTTTTTTTCCCCTTGCACTTTGGATGACATATCCTGAGAATTTCTCCCAATTATCAGTAGCAGTATTTTGATGGACCTTTCCCAAAGCAATTCAGTTTTGTGTTTAACTGTTGTTGACTAATAAAGAACCAAGAATTCCACCATCATTTCTACTTGAGGGATAATTGATCCAGGGAACAGAGAGAAGCCTGGATTGGTCTACTAGATGGTAACGAGGATCAATGTGGTCAATTGAGCAAATGAGTCTTGGTGATTAAGCGATGCAGAAGAATGAGCCTCTTAAACATTAGTTCCATTAAAAATGAAGTATTGTGTGCCATTTTTTTCCTTAGAGGGTGGTGTTATTAATTATGTAGATGTGACAAAATGAGACATACAATGTATCATATAACGTTTGCTTTATTTCTAAATACACAAATAGCTGCACCCTCTGGATAATAGTCCATTGAGCCCAGTAATTGTATATTGGGCAGGACATACCGTACACTTAAACATTGACTTTCACATCTTTACAACCTTCAAGAATTGAACCTGTCTTTTTCCAGGCAATGGAAGTACTGAAAGGAGAAGTATATGTAATTGGATTTGTCTTTACAGTACAAGAAAGTTAAGTACCTCTTTATTCCTGAGTTATGATCCCATTTCAGTAGGAGGTTTGGAAAGCGTAGCAATGGTCCCCAACCTTTTGGCACCAGGGACCAGTTCTGTGGAGAGAGTTGTTTTCCACGGACCAGAGGGAGTGTGGTTTCGCATGCTGCTTGCATCCCGCAGATGGGGCTTGTTTGCATGGCCCAGTGTTTGGCATGCCATGGACCAATGCTGATCCACGGACCGGGGGTTAGGGACCCCAGTCTAGGATTCGTATAAAGTGAAAGATGAAGCTAAAAAAAGAGTGCCTTTTGGGAGACTAGCTCATCATAATAAACTATAATGTAGTCCATATCTTTGGGCATAGCATATTATGCCCAAATGCAACAATTGTGCTGTGTTAAGTTTTAAACTGTAGTAAGTAAGTCAATCTCCTATTTTGTGTATCAGCATCATATATTGTTAGTGGTGCTCCCCAGGCTGGTGAATCCTTGGGCAATGGCCCATTGGGGGCCCCCATATTTTTGGGAGTTCCATACTTACCAGTTTCTCTTCCTATTTGCTCCCTCAAATTCTGTAGCAACTCTTTCTTCCATTCCAGCATCTTTGCTGTTCTTTCTCTCCCCTTCATGAGATAGTGACCCTGGCATCTTTTTTTCTCCTTCCCTTTAACTCCCTGACTTGTTTGGCTAATGGATTGTTATAATTAATGTTATAATTAAGTAGATCTCTAGTCTTAACGTGCAGCATTAATTCTTGAATGCTCCATAGCATTCAACAAAGTCTGAGGATGATTCAGAACATTTATTTCCACCTCCCCCAGACCCCAATGCCATGGCTATTCAAGTGTCCTGAACAAACTGGATCAAATGTCGAAAGCATTTGAAACAACTTGGAGCAAACCTTCCGGAGCTTGCCAGAGAGATTCCCACAAAATGTTCTAATGCTGTTTCCCAATAACCCTTGCCCTAACTATTTTTACACCAGACTCATACTTAGATTGGATTCAAAGCCATTTAACTGCCTGTCTCCATTCCATTAAAGGGAAACTGCGGGCATTATAGTTCTGTGACAAGATTTCAGTAGCTAATAAATCATCAGCTATGCAGAAATCCAGATTGGAGACGCAACTAGGATTCAGAATGTGCATCACCATGCTTTTTAAAAATGGTCTCACAATGTTTGCACACATCCAGGAGAGTACAGCCTCGATTTATGACCATAATTGGGCCTAGAATTTATGTTGCTAAGCAAGGCGGTTGTTAAAGGAACCAGGTTATGATTTTTTTTTTTTGGTCACAGTGAATTCCTGCAGCTGGTTAAGTGAATCATGCAATTGTTAAGTGAATCCGGTTTCTGGGAGACTATGTCCTTGACTTATGACCAATTTCTGTTGCTAAGCAAGGCGGTTGTTAAAAGAATCATGCCCAATGTTATGACCTTTTTTGCCACAGTGAATCTCCGAGTTGTTAAATGAATTATGTAATTTTTAAGTGAATCTGGTTTCCCCCATTGACTTTCCTTGTTGAGAGCTGGGAAAGTCACAAATGACCACAAGACTCCAGATGCTGCAAACATTGTAAATACTGGTTGCCAAGCATCCAAATTTTGATTAGATGACCATGGGGATGCTGCGACAGACATACTGTAAGTGCGAGGACTGGTCATCACTTTTTTCAGTGGTGTTGTACCTTCAAATGGCCACTAAATGAATGGTTGTAGGTCAAACCATAGGGAACTGTAATTTTTCATGAATAGTTTGAAAAGTCTGGGTTCAAAGGGCAAAATGTGATTCAGAGCATGTGTGTGCAGTATCTGTCAACTGTCCTTATGCCAAATACATCTATTCCTGGGATTGCATGTTAGCTGAAGAGGGCAGCCATCTAAGTCTTGGAAAAGACTCAGCGGCTTTAAAGGGCTAGTGCAGAGATAGGCAACCGTGGCTCGTTTATGACTCGTGGACTTCAACTTCCAGAAATCCTGAGCCAGCATGGCTCAGCATGGAAACCCCTCCCTTTCTCAGCATGGCTGGCTCAGGAATTCTGGTAGTTGAAGTCCACTAGTCATAAAAGAGCCAAGGTTGCCTACCTCTGGGCTAGTGACTGGTGCTACATACAGGCCACACTGAATAATTAATTCTTTGCTCTGTGGATGAGGATCACTGCATAGTCCTACAGATTATTTCTGTAAATCTATTGTTCCCATACTGTTATTGGTATATGATAGTACCCTATGTTAGAGTACTATTAAACCAGGTTTTTTCATAGTTAAATTATGTACATAAATTTTGCATATTGGATGTGGTGAATGTATTTGCACGCTAACATGCTGGCTGAGGAATACTCCGTTTAAGATTTTAAAGTTGCTGACATTGAGAAACATTGGCAATTTTTAAGACTTTGTGGACTTCAACTCTCAGAATTCCTCAGCTAGCCCTGCATGGGAGTTGAAGTCCAAAAGTCTTAAAAGTTGCCAAGTTTGGAGACCCCTGTGTAGAGAGACTGAACTAGCACCCTTATAACAGGAGTTCTCAGGGAACTGAACTGTGATGGGACAAACAAGTTGACTGTATTTGAAGCAGGTGATTGCCCTGAATATTGAGCAAGCAGGATGGATATTGCATACTGCCCACCAGTTGTCCTTTTAACACTTGATTCAACAATTCATAAGACAGAAAACATCATTTGTATTATACCAGGGGTTTTCAAACTTGGCCCTTTTATGACCTGTGGACTTCAACTCCCAGAATTCCCTAGCCAGGCATGCCTGGCTGAGGAATTCTGGGAGTTGAAGTCCACAAGTCATAAAAGGGCCAAGTTTGAAGACCCCTGCATTATACTGAGGCTGTATCTCAGATGTTTGGGGCTACAACTTTTTATTGTGGTACTTGTTGGTCCAATACAGCAATTGCAGACCAAAGCATTTAGAATGCATCAAATGGAGAAATACTGCAGCTGCTCAGTGGCAAGAGGTTAATGACCTGTCAGAGAGCAAGCCTTTTTTCTTATTATATCTCAAATTTCAGGGCAGAATTTTTAGGAAGGGAAACAAACAAGTTTAAGATTCTACACTAGAGACAACAGATTGTGAACAATGCTGGCATTAAAGACTGAAAAACAATTATATGCTGAGGCAGAAGAGACTGCCTACAAAATTCTACCCAACCCCCTTACTGTAAATCTTAACAGTGTTTACTCTAAGCTCAGACAAGTCAACACGCTTTGCCCAAATGTAGTATGCAACTTTCTGAGTTGGAGCATTGAGTGAAATGTGCCATTTTGACTGGTTTAATAAACCATTGTTAAACAGGCTGGCTAAATGGGTAGAGTTTGGAACCAGCCAATTCTTTCTGTGAGTGAATACTATATTCTATAAGTCAGAACTGGCTGGGTTGCATAATATGCTAAACCAGGGGTAGTCAACCTTGGCTCTTTTATGACTCGTGGACTTCAATTCCCAGAATTCCTGAGCCAGCTTAGCTGGCTCAGGAATTCTGGGAGTTGAAGTCCACGAGTCATAAAAGAGCCAAGGTTGACTACCCCTGCGCTAAACCATAAATTATGGATTGCAAATCACAATGGCTGCGTTTGGGCAACATGCAACCCTAATACAAAACAACATAGTATGGCCTGTATTGTTTCCAGTGGACCTCTGTTAAGAATAGAGTGAACTAGGAGCAGGGAATACTCTTTAAAATTCAACCAACCAAAATGATTAGGGTTAGGGTTAAAGTCAGTTGTGAATGCTCCAACACAGGAAGTTTTTAAGAAGAGACTGGACAACCATTTGTCTGAAAAGGTATAGGGTTTCCTGCCTGAATAGGAGGTTGGACTAGATGACCTCCAAGGTCCCTTCCAACTCTGCTATTCTATTCCATTCCAATCCAATCTCAGCAAGGCACGGCCACTTCGGATCGTCCCATCGCTCCCAGAGGGCGGGGATGGGGGTGGAGGAGCGGACAGGCCCAACACGGTTGCGGGCGGGGGGGGGAGCGGATTTGCAGAGTCTTTCGTTTTAAAGTCCTCCCATTGGACAAGTAGCGCCTGGCGAGTGGCTTTTTTCAAAGTCGGACGGACGAAGACGGAGCCGTCGTTCCCCTCCCTTCTCCGCAGTCATGGAAGGCTCGTAAGCGGTTTCTCACACCCCCTCTACTTCGCCTATCAATAATCAATAAACGTGCAAATCTTCTTGATTCCCGTGGCTTGCTTAGTAATCCGGAGGGCAGTTGCTTTAAGAGCACGTCGCCCGTCCGATCCTCCTTTTTTTACATTCTCACCTGGTTCCTCTGCTTCCGTTTCCTTACCTCTTTTTTTTTTTTTTTTTTTTGCAACGCGTTTCTTTCGGATGCATTATTAGGAGAAAGGGCGTGAGAATCCGCTAACGGCTAATATCGCGGCTCCCAGACCGCAGCAATACCACTAGCTTCAAATACTGTAGCTTTTTCCGGCGGGTTGAAGTAGCTTTCTTGCTTAGGGAGCTTGCTACCGTAATAGATGTAATACAGCGGCATCTCAATAATAGCCAGGTTAAGCCTTTGAAAGCAGGGCTGTACATCAGTCGAATGGAGCTCCTTTTGAACCCCACGCTGTTCAGTTGGCTTTCTCTTGTGTAAGCCTCCATAGGCTCGCAGTTGCAGACTTCCCAGATTTCACATTTAATCTAGTCAAAAGTCTCCCTTAAATTGAGCTTGCCTGCTGATTGTTTGATGGGTGCACCCCTTGGGCAGAAGTATCACAATGTGGTTTTGCTGTTACAGGAGTTTGATTTAGAGCAGGGGTCCTCAACCTTGGCAACTTTAAGACTTGTGGACTTCAATTCCCAGAATTCCTCAGCCAGCTTTAAGACTTGTGGACTTCAAATCCCAGAATACCTCAGCCAGCTTTGCTGGCTGAGGAATTCTGGGAATTGAAGTCCACAAGTCTTAAAGTTGCCAAGGTTGAGGACCTCTGATTTAGAGGGTGTTTTTATGCAACTTTCAGAGATTGACCATAACATTAGCTAGTTAGATTCTTCCTGGAAAGTTACTACAGGTAGCCCTTGACTTAGAGCAGGGGTCTTCAAACTTGGCCCTTTTATGACTTGTGGACTTCAACTCCCAGAATTCCTCAGCCAGTGTGCCTGGCTGAGGAATTCTGGAAGTTGAAGTCCACAAATCATAAAAGGGCCAAGTTTGAAGACCCCTGACTTAGAGCCATTTGTTTAGCGACTGTTCAAAGTTACAGTGGCAATGAAAAAAGTGACTTACAACCAGGCTTTGCAATTACAACTTTCACAGCATTCCTACAATTACGTGATCAAAATTTGGATTTTTGGCAACTAGTATGTACTCACAATGGTTGCAGCATCCCTGGGGTCATGTGATCACTATTTGTGATCTTCCAAGCCAGCTTCTCGCAAGCAAGTCAATGGGGGAAGCTGGATTCGCTTAACAGTCATGTGATTCACGTAACAACAGCAGTGATTCGCCGAACCATGGTTAAAAAAAAAAAAGTAAAATGAGACGTAATTCATTTAACAACTGCCTTGCGTAGCAGCAGAAATTCTGATCCCAATTGTGCTTGTATGTCAAGAACTACCTAAACCTCTCAGAGAAATAGCACATTTTCACTTGTATAGCGACTTTCCCATTTTTATTACTCTGATCTGTGACTGCTAATAAAATGATAGTCAGGTGAAGTGGCCACTAAGATTGTAATACAGACTCCTTTTCATGTAAATTATACTTTTTATTTTGTGCATGCGAATTTCAGGTTAACCCTGGTGCAGTCTTGTTTCATGCTGGGTTCAAAATACTAATTCCCAGGGCTTTTTTTGTCATAGAACACCCAGAACGGAGTTCCGGCACCTTTTTTAGATGGAACCTTGTAGGGTAGGCAAGGTGGGTTGTATGACGTGTGTGAGTTCTGGCACTTTTTTTTTTTTTTAACAAAAAAAAAACAACCTGCTAATTCCACTAAATGTGCACCTTCTGAGGGACTGGCCAGTTTAGTTGGGGAAACAAGATCTGATATGCAACTTAATATGCAAATAGATCCTAGTGAATTAGTACAAGTTGCAGATTTCAGAAGAATATTTTTAATATGTTTTGATATTTTGCAACACATGCCTGGGAAAGTTTTACAGTGTGTGCACGTGAGTGCTTGCCTTGAGTAATATGTCTTTCCACCATCCCTCTGTAGCTACCGCACTCCTTCCCAAGAAGCCTATCGTGCAGCCATGGTGCTTTCTGGAGCTGGTGATGCCCTTGGATATCGCAACCAGCGCTGGGAATACTGTACTTCGGGGCCCCAGATCCACCAAGAGCTCCAGGAAATGGGGGGACTTGGCAAGATCCGTGTAGCCCTCCCTGATTGGCCAGTCAGTGATGATACTGTGCTGCACCTGGCGACTGCTGAGGCCTTGGCCACAGGTGAGTAGTTGGAAGCAAAGGGAAGCCTTGCAGTCTTCTTTTGCAAATTTTGGTTCACCCCAAAATAATACTTCTCTTACGTGGTGCTTTATAGGAGCTGGTGGTTTTATACAATTTATTAAGCACTCTTGGTAAAATGTTCCAAGGTGCATCTGTCTCCTATTTTAGAGGGTCCTGCTGGACTTATCCAATAGTAACAATTCCAGCTTTTTAACCCGCACTGGGAAACAGGTCATCATTTTAATTTCCAATAGCAGCCAATGACAGCACTTGCCCGACGCTGAAAAAACTAAGTAGGATCCAAGCTGGTTAGTACTCAGCTAGGCAAATAGCAGGAAATACCACTGCTGTAGCTTAGGTTAGTGTTTCTGAACCTCAGCTACTTTGACATGGGTGGACTTCAATTCCTAGAATTCCCTAGCCAGCAAGGGAATTCTGGGAATTTAAGTCCATCTTTCCTAAAGTTGCTGAAGTTGAGAAACACTGACCTAGATCAGGGGTCCTCAACCCCCGGGCTGTGACCCCTACTGGGTTGTGGCCTATTTGCAACTGGGCTGTGGCTCGGTGCGCAGGCATGCACAGAGCATAACTTGCGCAAGCAGTTGACCGGTGCACATACATGCATGCCCACAGTTCAGCTTGCGGTCGAGTTGTGTGTGCATGGATGTGCGCGCCAGTCTGCTGCTCATGCAAATCATGCTGGGCACACGGGACTACCAGCCTGCCATTCTCACAGCCTGGTTCCCCTCTTCCCACCCTCCTCAGCCTGGCCGCAAAGCCTCAAAGGTTGGGGACTGCTGAGTTAGATGACTAGGCGTTAGAAGATAATAGTGACAGACTACTCCTGTACTGTGGCCAATTAGTCAAAATGGACATGAAGTCAATAGGGACAGTAACTTATCTCAGATATCTGGGTCATAGGATCTAATTAGACATTCCTAGGATGCTGGCTTGCAATTAATGCTACAAGCCTTCTGAGTTTAGATTTTGGGATTACAGTAAGATTTCATTTTTTTTAGTTCTTTGTTCAATTTTGTATAGCTGCCTATCTTACATTTGTGTCTGTGGGTGGCTCACGTCATTTTGGGGTCCTCACACCCTTGAGGTGGATGATGTTAAGGTACGAAGGCTCGTATCCTTAGCAGTAATGACCCAAACATTTTCCTCAATAACTTTTCCCAACTGGATGCAGTAAAAATGTGGTTGCCCTACAAGATTTATCTCTACCATCAGTCTTGCCCACAAAAGAAATTTTACATGAAAAGGGATCCTTCAGGAGATCTCTGCATATAGGGGTTTTGAGTAAACTTCTATTGGTGATAAAGTGCATCAACAGAAGCCCTGGGCAGAGCAGAAGGACAAGAGCAAAGTAGATTCTAGTCTCAAATTTAAAAATAAAAATTGTTCTCTTGTGTTTCCCATCTTTTTTGCATAGGGAAGACTGGAGAGCCCTTGTTCCAGGAGCTGGCAAGCTGCTACGTAGAGGCTATGAAAGATATGGAGGGGAGAAAACCTGGGCCCACCAGTATTCTGGGTAATACACACACACATACACACATTGCATATTTAATGACCATTCAAAGTTACAAGGTCACCGAAAAGAGTGACTTAAGACTGGTCCTCACACTTATGACTGTCACAGCACCCTAACAGTCACATGATAACTTGTGTTAATTTCTTGGCAACCGGCATGTATTACAATGGTTGCAGCATCCCAGGGGTCATATGATTGCCCTTTGCGACTTTCCCAGCCACCTTCCAGCAGGCAAAATCAATGGGGAAAGCTGGATTCACTTGGAAAGTTCAATCCTGACAAGCAGACCACTGTTACTATCTTCACACTGTAAGTGCCACTATACATTGTGTAGCACCACAGTTACAAGACTAGCAGCTCTTTGACTTAGTCTAATTTTTAAAAAGGCATGTTCAAGATTCCAGATGCTTTTTATTAAAATAACAGAACCTTGACACCTAGTAGAGTTTCAAAAAACACCAGTGTTTTTCAGCCTTGGCAACTCCCAGAATTCAACAACATGTCTGGCTAGTTAAGTCTGGGAATCCAGATATCTTAAAGTTGCCAAGGTTGAGAAATTGTTTTCTACATGACCTTGTACCAAACAAAATTAAGCTGGGTTTATCTTGAATTTCTCACACTTTCCTCTTCTTTTCTGCCTTAAAAGTTCATTCCTCCTTTCTTCCCTTAATAGCTTGCCCACTCCTTTCCCTTCCCCAAGGTTAGCTCTAAATTCCTTTACAGTGAGAGTGAGTGAACAGCCTAAGGTTTCACAGCAAATGTACAATAGAAACTATAATCAAACTGTAGACTCCCTTTATCCCCACTCAGAGTCAGAGCCACAATTTATAACAGCCATGTTATGGTTGATACTTATATGTTTGTTCACTTTTGTACAAAATTTTCATTAAAACATTTAAACAATGATAAAACTAACACAAGCCAATGCAAAGCACGGAAGAAAAAAGCAAAAGCAAAAAGTGGAAGAACAGAAACAAATAGAAATAGAAAAGAAACAAAAAAGAAATATAAAGTGGCTTCTGATATTTTTCACAATAATAAGTAAAAATATATTTTATCCTTTCTCTCTAAAGTTACATCATATTACTCTCATATCTACAATATATTCTGTCTAATCATCCAAACCAATGGCTTCCAAGGGACCAGTTCCATGAGGGCAGTTTTTCTGCATTTTGGTGGGGGGGGGCATGGTTTTTTGCACTGCCTGGATCCCTTGCATGTGCAGATGGGGCTTCGCTCGCTTATGCAGCCCGGTTCCTGGCTGCACAATGGCCCAATGCTGGTCCATGCCCTGTAGGTTGGGGATCCCTGATCCAAACCATAAATCACACATTCATTTTTTAAAAGAAATTATGCAAAAAGCTGTAAGAGGCTTCCAATAATCAATGAATATGATTAGTGTCTATAATCAAAGAAGAAAAAAGATTTTGCTGTATGTTGTTTACTTTCAGTTTCAGGAAGAAAAAAAAACAGTTACAAAAATAGTCAAGTTTCTTTAGCTGTACACAAATCTTCCATTTTAGATCACAAACCTTATTGTTTTGTTCTGTAAACAAATACGATGTCCAGGACAAAGGATGTCTAACTAAAAATCCAATGTCATTTGGGCAGTAAACATTTCAATGTGCTATTTTTTTCCTCCACCTGCTTCTAGGAACATCTCAGTTATGTCCAGGAGAGCCAGATGGATATCACATTCCCTTCAATCCTAACGCAACCGGTTGTGGTGCAGCTATGAGATCCATGTGCATTGGGCTTAGGTAATACATGATGGAGAAGAAAATAAGAGCAAAGCAGGAATAGCAGAATGATCAAAGGTCAACACAAGATCATCCTGATTCCCAGCCAATCTCTCTTCCAGGTATCCTCACCCCTCTGATCTCAACACCTTGATCCAAGTCAGCATAGAAAGTGGAAGAATGACGCATCACCATCCCACAGGTAAAGGGACATATGGAGTCATTATTGTATGACTGACTGATCTCAGGGCTTAAGGAACGGGAAAAAAACATTATGTTTATGCTGGGCAGCTTTTCTACAATACAGAAAAATTGTCCTGGGGCTGGGCCTGCAGTAGTGACACAGGTTGAGCAGGCTTCTTTCCATGTCGCAGGATGAGGTGATAGAGTCTGAAGCAGTAAAATTGGCTTTTTTGATGTGTTGTTGGAGTTTTCTGAGATTTGGGGCTGCTAAGCATGAGTGATTGTTATTAGATTGATGACATCACAATTACTGTACAATATATATTTTCCCTATCTATCTTCCTTGATGTAATATGAACGGGATTTCTAAAATAAATACGGCTAAACCACTTTCACCAAATTTTTTACTGGAAAGATTCTGTTTGAACCTGCTCCTAATATGTAAAGTCCTAGGAAGACCAGACAATTTTTATGTGAATCATCTTTTAGAGATTCAAAACCCTTCTTCTCTTGTGCAGTAGCCAAACTCTGTGTTGCCACAATGAAAATAAGGCATAATTGGTCTCAGGAATAAATGCTTCTCTTTTATTCATCAATTCAGCTTTCAATCAATTAGTTTTTGTTACAGTCACAGACCAGAATTATCAATTCAGCTTTATTATGTCTTAGTTTTCTTGTTTTAGGCAATATATAGTTTACTTCATATATTGTAATATTTTAGATGTACACTTGCACTAACATACCAGCATAGAAGCATAGTATATAGTTTCTATGAAATTTCTTGTCCTATGAAAATCCTTTGGGGATGAGCTTAGCTATATTGTCCGTTTCCTTTTCTCTCCTTAATGTTTTGGTGCTGGGAATTTTTGTGAAACATCACAAAAATTGTCAAAAGCCAACACCCATTGTCAAAGCCAACATGCTCTTATCTATGTGGTCACTAGAAGTAGAAAACAATTTGATAGCACATAATCAGTCATAGTAACTTATGTTACCCTTTTATTATAGAGATTCTTGTTATGTTCTCACTTTATCTCACCCATTCGGTTTTACTTTTGTGTTGCATGTTTGGCTGGTCATTGACTGAATAAAGTTGTTATACAGGCCTTACCTTTGGAAGTTTGGGGTAAATTTCAGTAATTGAGTCAAATTTAATGTATAGAAAAACTGAGAAGGAAAAAAAAGGGGGGGAGGGGACTATAGAGTCCTGAAAGACACATCCTTTCTCTACTTCCTCTGTGTAGGCTATCTGGGATCTCTGGCTTCGGCCCTCTTCACTGCTTATGCTGTCCAGGGGCTGCCCCTTGAGCTCTGGGGATCTGGGTTGCTGAAGACTTTGCCCCTTGCCATGGAGTACATCCAGGCTACTGGGGTTGAGACTGAAGCCAATATAGCAGCTTGGACCTATTTCCAAGAGAAGTGGGAATGGTAAGTAGTTGGGACAAGAGAGGGAAGAAGGAACGCAGGGCTCTTGATTAAAGCTGGAAACAATAGAAGTGGAGATAGGCGGTTCAGAAATGTCATAGATAGATAGATAGATAGATAGATAGATAGATAGATAGATAGATAGATAGATAGATAGATAGATAGATAGATGATAGAGAGAGAGAGATGCAATTTGAATAACATTTTTTTTTCAGGATCTACTTTTCCAATTTGGGGAATCCTCTGGGGCTATTCCACCTGGTGCGCAGGGAGGGAGAAATCTCGTCTAGTTTCCTGATTTGCAAGGTTTCTCAGGATTCCTATGTTCCTTCTGCTCCTATTTAACATCAGCTTGTAGCTGCTGGGTAAGGTTATCTACCAGCAAAGGGTCAAAGTTGATGAGTGTGCTAATAATAACACATTAACGTCTTTACCCTGAGCCAAGCAGGTGAAATATTGTGTTTTCACTGCCTCGAGTTATTTATAAAACTAATAAAGGCAGGATATAAATAAATAAGATCATCTAGGAGCAACTATTAGACCAGAATGTGATGGCGTGGGAAGTTACCAATGCATTATAGTAAGCCCATACATCACAACAAGCTTCACTCGCTTCCTATAAGCTTTGGGTACAATTCAAAGTGCTGGTTATCAATTACAAATCCTTTCTAAACCCTATCTGCAGTTGTCTCTGCCCCATGAGATCCAGCAAGGTGAGTATGTGTCCTTCTAGGAAACAGAGTCATTAAATGGGACCCAGGGACTGTGCCTTCTCTGTCCCAACAACACCTTCTCTATGGAACAGCATATTCCTCCCCCCAAATCCAGATGTCTCTGAACCTGTTAGCCTTTCCAGAGGCTAAAAGAGTCTACCTGGGAATGATTTGAGGATCGGATTATGTCTATGGAGATTCTCAGTTATCCAGGTCATGGTTGTCCAAAAGTGCTTTTTCAAAAGGCAAGTGGACTTCGTTTTTTCCTTGAAGATGTTTCATTTCTCATCCAAGAAGCAAAATATTGTCAAGGAAAAAACAAAGTCCGGTTGCCTTTTGAAAAAGCACTTTTGGGAGGATTGGATTATGTTTACTGTTCATTCTATGTGATGCTGGGGGTTTTCCTTTTGTTTACTTTGTTTTTTAGCCCTATGCCATCCTCCCAGAATCCCTATTTGTGAGCTGGACAGCCATATAACTAGAATACACAAATGTAACCAAAACATCCCACATTTAGGTACCTCTCTGAACGGGGTCTCAGCGATGGTCGGGGCCCAGTTCAATTTCCTGCTGCCTACGGTCCTGCCGAGCGGGATGTCATCTACAAAACCTTCAGCCTGGACGGATGGGCTGGACGGAGTGGTCATGATGCCCCCATGATTGCCTACGATGCCCTCCTGGGTGCTGGGAGCAGCTGGGAGCAGCTCTGCGGATGGTCCATGTTCCATGGTGGTGAGTGACAATCTCCCTTGTAAAATGCTTGATCCTAGAACTAGCTGACACTGTGCTCACACGCATATCACAGATGTTAGGAGTATTTTATTAAGGCTTCCAAGCCTGAATTAGTATTCCCTTGTGCCAGCACCAGCTCAATCCCAATGAGTTCCACAGGCTACTCTCAAGAAGCCAACCCTAATCCTCAAGGCAAAGGCAAGTCCAATCCATTAGGCAAAAAGCAAGCCTCTAAGGCAAAGGCAAATCCACAAGATAAGGCAAGTCCACAGGAAAAGGCAAGTCCCCAAGGTAAAGGCAACGCAAAGGCAAATCCACAGGGCAATGGCAAAGGCAAGAACACACAGCAAGGAAATGGACACATTGTTCTGAGCATCATTTCACTCCCCTTACTGAGCTGAATAACTGCTTCCTGGTACTGCTCATCAAGAGGGGCGAGGCTGCCTCCTCATGAGTAATCTGTCTGACCTTCTTTGTGCCTGCCTCCTCTCAGCCCTACGTGCTCTTAGATCTGGAAGACAACATAGTTCTTCATCTCCATCAACCAATTGCAGCCGGGTGCCCTCTACACCTGAAGCCTCTGGGCTTCCCAGCTGCAGCTGCGTCTCTCCTGCCTCTAGCTCAGCCAGCTGCTCATCTAGTTGCTTCCCTGTGCTCAGCCTTTCCACTCCTGGCTCATAGCTCTTGGCTGCTGGCTCATCTTTCTCCAAACTAGCATCTGGAGAGGTGTCTGGGGAGTCATCGCAGCCACTCATAATCTTTTTTTTCTGTATGTTGCTCTTGCCCTCCAGGAGACAGTGACTCCACAGGGGTCATCGCGGCTTGCTGCTGGGGCCTTATGTATGGTGTCCGAGATATCCCATCTGGAAATCACATGGAACTGGAATATCGAGACAGGATGGTCTCTGCGGCCGACTCTCTCTATCGCCTGGCTTGGGAGCAGGGCTCTGTTTGAGAAGCCGTTCCCATGGCTAACATCCTCAATTCCTGGGAAGGCATAAATTGAAAACTTGCAATAGATTGAAAACGGATGCTTTCAAAATAAATTGAAGCTGTATTCTGCCTCAGTTTTGTGGGCTGGAGGAGGGATCCGTGCCAGAATCCTAAGATTCTGTATAGAGGAGTCCTTTAAGATGCAGATTCCCAAGACCCTGCGTAGAAGTGTCCCCAGGGAAGTGATTAAAAAAAACCATCTCAAGATGGAATCAGAACCATGTGATTGAAGTCCCACCCTTTTGGGGTGGAGTTTCAACCACAAGCTTGTAGCTGCCATTTTGATTCCTTTGACCTGTCCTTTGACTTGAGAGATTATCCATTTAATAAGCAAGGGCATTGTGATTTCACAGAGGATAGTGCATTATATATTTCTGGAAGCAGCTCTTTATTATTTCACATATTCTATAGCTAAGCTGAGTTACTGGGTGCAAAAAATATTTCCTAGGCTTAAATTCTCATCAGCGGTGGAAGAATCACAGAGTCCCTCCACGCAAGACAAATCGTTGTTCATAGAAGATTGAGCTGGTTTCCTGCTGAAATGATGGAGGCAGTATTTGTCTGAAATGCAGGATAAATACATGATTACATGAACGTAATGTGATGCAAAAGCACAGACTTTGTGCAAAAGCCTTATTTGTGCAGAAGATCCAGGTATGAATGTGTTATTCAGCCATGGCAGAAAAAGGGCCACTAAATTAATAGGATTATGCACCTTTTTTATACAGACAAAAGTTAGGTTCTTTTGTCAAAGCAGCCTTATTTCTTACAGTGATGAGTTTCTGACTGTGTCCTAGGCTGCAGTCTTTCCCAGCAGTGACTGTAATACCAGATTCTTATGCAGGTAGTCCTCGCTTACCAATCACATGTTGAGCAACCAAAATTGCAATGGTGCTAAATGAATGATACTTAGGACCAGATCTCAGAGTTTTGGTCCTTTGCTGCAACCTCACAGTTCTGTGATTTGCTATTTGAGTGCTTAACAACTGGCTTGCACTTACAACAGTTGCAGTGTCTTGTGGTCAGGTGATTGCCATGTGTGACCTTTCCCCTCAGCTTCCCACAAGCAAATGTTGAAGTCAGCAGGGCAGGTTGCAAATTGTCTCCCTGGCCTTCCTGCTTTTGCACCTCATGGCAGCATCCATCTTTTGGCTTTCCTGTGCTTACGTGCAGCCTGCATCAGGCCTCCCAAGCACTGCCCTGACTTCCCCCAACTCACATGCGGCCTTCACCAGCCCTTCCAGTGCCTCCCCTGGCCTCCCTCATTCCTATGCTCCTTACCTAGGACTCCTGCCACTTCCCACTTAACAACCAACACTTCTTGGGGTTACAATGGCCATCAGGACTGCCAGGATTGTCGTCACTAAGGGATGCAATCATGTGACAATGCACTTTACAGTTGCATTGCTTAGCAACGGCAATCCTGGCTCAACTTCCATGTAACCCAGGGATTACCTGTGGTTGGAGAAGCTTTGGGATGAAACCTTCCTCCCTTTTGAGATAACAGAACATCTCTACTATAGAGATCTTTCATATAACTAAGCAACTGCACTCAGTGATGCAACTAAGTGGATCCCAGTACCAAAATCCATGGCTCTGAATGGTCTACAGAGTATCGGCAGCAAACAAGCTCAGTATGCATTCCTATTCTGAACTGAGAATGCCAGCGATACTCTTAAAAAAAACTACTGTAAATATATATCTTTGCATTGTACATCTGTACACTGAACCAGAGAGGGCTCAGAAAATATCTACGGACTTCTCACATCCTGGACATAAAATGTTTCAACTTCTTCCCTCCGGATGCCACCATAGGGCATTGCATTCCAAAACAATTAGACACAAAGATAGTTTTTTCTCCCATTACTCTGCTAAACACTTAATTCTCACAGCACTGTCTTATGCCTACCCATGTAGTAGGGCTTCACTGATATTATCCTTCTCATCTTCTCATTTTTCCTACTACCTTCTCCTATTGGTATCTATGATTTATCACTTGTTATAACTTACGATTAATGATTGTAACTATGATACATGATCTATGACTATCACTTTGTTGTTTGTATGTACAGTGAGAGCTTATGCACCAGAGACAAATTCCTTGTCCAATCTCACTTAACCAATAAAAAATGTCTATTCTATTCTATTCTGTTCTGTTCTGTTCTGTTCTGTTCTGTTCTATTCTATTAATAATGATAATAATAATAATAATAATAATAATAATAATAATAATAATTATTATTATTATTATTATTATTATTATTATTATTATTATTATTATTATTATTATTATTATTATTATTATTCTATTCTATAGTGGTGAGTAGTTGGCTGGACATAACTTAGTTGCTTCTGCTATTATTTTTTACTTCCAAAATAGATTATATTATTCCTCAACTGAATGGTGTTTATCTCCAAGAATTACATACTGGAATTTTAGGCTTCATTATTAGCTTTTTAATAAAGCTGATATTTGTATAATAAATAATTCAAGGCAATGATTATATCTAATTCTCCTTTCTACCCCCATTTTCCCCACAGTAACAACCCTGTGAAGTGAGTTGGGTTGAAATAGAGAGATTGGCCCAAGATCACCCAGATATTTTTCATACCTAAGGAGAGACAAAGAACTCACACTCTCCCATTTTCTAGCCTGCTGCCTAGAGACCAAATGGGCTCTCCAAAATCTTTTTTTTTTAATGTGCAAAGACTAGCCTGTTCATGAACTAAACAACAGGGAGTGTATTTTGGAGTGTTGGCAAGAAACAAGCTTGGATGGGAAAGGGGAAGATGCAACCTATTTTAAGGGTGTTCTCTCTTTTCCTGCATCTGATCAATGTCTTTTATTATTGTTTTCTGATGCATCACATATATGTAAAATCATTTGTTTCTGTATGCCATGTTAACACTTGACACACACACACACACACACACACACACTGAAGTTCTTGTGATTTAGACTAGCAGGAGGTGGAGGGCACAAAAAATCCACTTTGCAAAATTAAGGTCTCTCTCCCAAATTCAGAGATCAAATTCTTATCAGTTCCAATCCAACTTGGTTACCTGAGATTTAAAGGGGACACCTGGCCCTTTAACCCTAGGCTATTTACCAGACCAAAGAGGTGGCAGGTCAAGCCTTATAAAACTGAGTCCAAACTACAGGACATCTGAGCCAGGCTGTGTGGAGGTTGATAAACTTGCATAATAATGTTCATTGGCAAGGTCTCCCTTGTCAGAGCTTACCACTGGACTTTGATTTTGCTTGGACTCTGGCATAGGCAGGGCATTGGCTGGCATGAAAAATGCTGAGGCAGCAGTAAATGGGCCAAAAGGAGATGGGACAGTTGCTGCAAAAAGCTGCTTGAAAGAGTTGGACAAAAAAAAAGGAAATTTCCAGCAGGGAAGATCTATAAGGAACAAATTGTTCATCTCTTCTCTTCAAAACCAGAATGCTTTATGTTCCTGAATCTAAACAACAGCGGCTTCACTGGGGCATCCTAAAATTCTTTATAAAGCCAAACTATAAAATGCAACAATTTTAAAGTATTCAACTTCTGCCTCAGTTAAGAAATGGTAAACTCTGAATCTGATTTTTATACAGCCTCCTTTTTAATGCCACTGTTTATCTCTGCAGGGTTTGGGGGCTCTCTCGTTTGTTCTGCCAGTCGTGTTTTCCTCCAAAATCATGTTTAAATGGGACCATTGCCACCCTTTTTTAATACTTCCTCCCCCCACCATTGTTTAACCAGCTTGCCAAACCATTTTGCTATGCAACACAACTGAGAATGAAGTGGCACAGTGACCGTGACCGTAAGTTGCCTAATACTTTGCACCATGCAAAGTACGCCAGCAGATATCAAATAGTCACTTCTTCTCGCTTCTGTTGTATGAATGGTGTTCCCCAATAGCTCTTGAACTCCAGATCTGTAGCTAGAGATGCAGTGGGTGGGATGGATTCTCTCCTCTATTTTCTGAATTCCAACTCAATTTTAAGATTAGAAGTCTAGATTAACCCTCTTTTAAGAGATTGCCTGCCTTCCCTGAATGCCTGGTTATGAGCCTTTGGATGGTGCAATGAATGTAATACAAATAGTCCTCAACTTACAACCACAATAGCGACTGAAAAAATTTGTCATTAAGCAATGTGGCTGTTAAGTGAGACATCATATGACTGCCCCCCGATTTTAAGGCCTTTTCTGCTGTGGCCGTTAAACAAGATATCGCAATTGCAGTCATTAAGCAAATCACCCACAACTGTCAAACAAGATATCATGTGACTGTGACCCATGACCTCCTGTCAGCTTTCCCATTGACTTTGCTTGTCAGAAGCCAGCTGGGAAGATTGAAAATGGCAATCACATGACCATAGGACACTGCAATCGTCATAAATACACAATGGTTGCCATGTGCGATAACCACAATTATGTGAATGCAGGGATGTTGCGATGGCCATCGTCTTAATTCAACAGTCATAACTTCGAAGAGTTGTTAAACAAACGGCCGTAAGTCAAACTTCCTGTATACTGGCATTTCACTATTGAAGCTAACAAGGGTTTCTGGAGTGTAGGTTATTTACACCTGGAAGGGAAATCAACTCTTCCATCAATTGAAAAGTGATCTACAGGGATCAGTTTGATCGTCTACTGGCAAATCAGACAGTTTAATATGATTATTGAGGTACTGGACTAGAAACCAGGAGACTGTTTTAGTCCAGGGCCTTTCTCTCTCTCAGCATCAGATAACTCCCTTGATCTGGAAAACCTTCTCTCTAATCTCCAAGGTTGTCGATGAGTGCTGTGATTGCTCATTGGTGAGGGAAATGCACTGTGTGCCCTATCTAACAAAATGAAATTCAACCTAGAGAAAAATAGGGTTTTATACTTAGGCAACAAAAATCAAATGTACAGATGAAACCTACAGATTAGCAGTATTTGTGAGAGGGATCTTGGAGTCCTAGTGGACAATCACTTAAATATGAGCCAGCAGTGTGTGGCAGCAGCCAAAACAGTCAACACAATCCTAGGTTGCATTAACAGAGGGATAGAATCAAAATCACATGAAGTA